GGACAGCAAGACCAGCATCAGTTTCCCCATTCCGCTCCCTCTTGTGACCCCTGGTGTGCTCTATGCAGCCTCCCCCTTCCCTCAGTTCCTCAGTCATAAAACAGGACTCATCAGATCTCCACGGACCCTACAGAGTTTCTGTAAAAGGTTATGCAGCATTTTAGCAGCTGGGAGACTTTTCCCAAACTGGAGGCAAGGTGAGAGCCTACAAAATCCCACTAGACAATTTCTGAAAAAAAAAAGCATCAGGTATCCCAAAGAAGGGAGATGCGCAGCATCAAAGTTGGAAAAAAGAGTTCAAAACCACCTTTAAATTTTGGGACAGACTTCCCTTCTTGCTTTCTCCAGACCTGGTTATGCTTTCTGCCTTCCAGAGTCCACAAGCAAAACCATTTTCACTGTCTTTTTCTTCCGCAGGATATCGATGGCCAAGCCCTTCTGTTGCTGACACTGCCTACGGTGCAAGAGTGCATGGAGCTGAAGCTGGGTCCAGCCATCAAACTGTGTCACCAGATCGAGCGAGTAAAGGTTGCTTTCTATGCACAATACGCCAACTGACTGCACTTCTCCATTTCTTTTCTTCTTGTTCCCTCTCTTTTTTTTAACATTGCAACTTGTTGAAGGGGTTTTTTTCCCCCCCCTTTCCCTTTTCTTTTCCAAGAACACGTAGAATTGGAAGCACTGGGAATTAATCCTTAGGGAAGGACAAAAAAGTAGCAACAAGTTGAACTAATTTTTCTGTACTCTTAAAGCACACCGAAAGACTGCTGGCATCTCTCCTCGTGAGCCTCGCCAACCCAGTACACAGTGGTGCAAGGCCAGCACAAGATCGGATGGTTTGTTGTTCGTAAAACAAAGCTACCACTGGCAGATGCATTCCCAAGGGAAGGGTCAGACATTTCTGGATGATGATGGTTTGTCTAGGTCAGTTTCTGGACATGAACAATTCTTTTAGCCAACTCTGACACACTTCTTTCATATTGAAATGTAAGTGATCGTTTGTAGCATTACCTGAGGTTTACTGCAGAGTTGATCTTAGTGATCAATGGGCTTTTTTCTCTCACCTTTCCAGTCTTACAAAAAGAACAAGTGTTATACCAGTCATATGCTGTTTGTTACTCCTGAGTGATTGATGAAGAAGATGCAACCCATGGTCTGTGTACAGTCTCGGACAAAGCTGCAGCGAACTGAGAGGGGGTGCAACAAAACTTAACATGCAGTAATGTGTCCTGAGCTGCACTGGCTGTGCACAGTAAGCTGAGTGATGTGATCTGTACAGTACTGCATTCTTGTACATAAAGGCTTTCATAGTCAAGCCCATCCTCTTAAATCTGAGTCACTTTAAAAGCTTGACTTTGAGTGCCACAGGGTGAAAAAAAACCTCGATATTCAGATTTAATGATGAGACTGTTGAGTGAATTCTGGTTTCATTTACACCTTCATGAATCTGGTTGCTAGGTGAGAATAAAAAGCATGAATCTTTTCAGGCTGCATACACCATGGTGCTTTGACCAGCTGAGGATCTGACCCACCTCAGTCTGTAGGAAGCCCCCAGATTGTCCCAGTGCCACCCTGGCTAGTGAAACTGGGGGCTTGCTTCATGCCAAGCAGGGTGAGCACCAGAGCAGGTGAAGAAATGGGTTGGACAACTTGAGTTTGCCTCAGTTGTGTTTACGGGAGAAGTATTTCCCATTTACTTTGCTGGGATGTATGACCCCATTAGTCCCATGTGTTGAGCCTAAATTTTCTGTGACTCAGCAGAGGCTGATGGCATCAGAGTGGTGTAAAATTCTGCCAAAAGCAAGAACCAAACTGGGACCAAGTCTGAATTTGACTCTAACTTTAAGGTGCAAGTCAATAAGTTGATTTGATGGTTCGTGCTGAGTTTTAGCCTGATTTCATAGGAAACCACTGACTTCGGCAGACATTTTTTTCTCAAGCCATGAACAAACCCCTGTTCCCTGGCCTCAGGGAGCTCAGCTTGGAAATTGTGCACAGCTCTGTTACAATGCTGTGAAGCCAAAGCCCACTACAGTGAAGGCCTCTTCAGAAAGAAATGTAATTTCTAGCCCTAAATCTGAAGCCAATGCTTATGGTCAGATAGCCCCCACCTCAAGCACATACCGTATGGTGACAGCAAACTTGGATCAGATAATCCTGCTGACCACCGTGTGCTCGGAAGAACCTACTGACCAACACCAGGCTACAGCTGCTGCTTTTTCCTTCATCAGTTTCCTCCTTAAGTTCTTTGGATTAAAGGGGGAAAGCCTCAGAAATAAATATTCTGGACTACATCTGAATCTGCCCTAGAGGATGTGATATGCAAGAAGTATTGACTCCGTTTGCCATGCATCACTGGGGAGTTTCTAGTCACACTTGCAGCGAGTTTCCTGACTTGCCACTGAGGAATGCAATGGGAGCAGCTTCTGCAGGCTGGGTCAGATCCTGCCAATTCCTGAGACTTCATAAAAAAAATTTACTACATGGGAGATCAGCAGGACTGGATCTGTTGTCAAGCTCTGTCTACGTTTTAGACTGGATTTCCTACTGACAGTAGCAGTGGGCTGTATCCATGCAACTGGTTTGGTAACTGCTTTGGATCCCTCTTAGGGTCCCCTAAAATGTTGCTCCATTGTGCCCAGCAAAATGAGAGTGCAGCTGAGAAGACCAAGGAGGTGGCTTCTCTGAGGTCCTCCTTTCTTTAGCCTTGTCCCTTGGATGGCTGGTATAACATCTGTCAGCAGGAGATAGCTCCCAAAAACCTTCTGTCAGAACTGGCGTATGAGGACGTTTCAAGGAAAGGAAGCAGAATGGCTGTTTGCTAAACAGCAAGCCACACCACTCATCCTTTACTTACCATGCCCACCTTCTTCTGAGCATCCTGTACTGCTCTGATGTTCTTGGAGTTTCTGGCCACTGGGATTTGTTAGAGATAGTTAATTCTTCCTGGGACACGTTGCAAAAACGTCATTGTTTTCTCCATCAGCCTTGTAACTGTAGATATTCCTATGGCAGCTAACTACTCATGGCACGGTCGGGAAGCGGACAGCTGCAGACTCTGAGCAACCAGCCTTGATGTTGGCCAAGCAAGGGATAAGGGGAGGCATTGAGCCCAGCACATGGGTGTCTTTACTGATTGATCAGGGAAGTTAAATCGTATTTAAAACTTGCCTATTAAACAACAACAAAAAAGGAGCTTGGTTTTAGCTTGTGCCGACTCTTTATTTCCTCAGGTTTCTCTCTCCTCACCGTTTCTCTTTCCATTTATTGTTCTTCAGTGCTGTCTTGTTTATCATTCTCTGTTCTTTTGGAGAAGATAATAACCTGAAATCTTTATTCTAAAATTACCTTGGGTGGTAAATGCTTTACTATTTCTGTTAGACTGCAGGTTGGAAAGAAATATGGGATTGGGCTACTGTTGTTTGTTGCGCTTGTTGCCTTCCAGAAAAGCTGGAAGCAAACCTCTTTGACAATTTCTTAAGCAAGTGGAAAAAGGACTGTGCATAGTTTAACTGGACAGTATGCTTGGATTGTCTCTTACAGCTTGAGCAGAGATCAGAAGGAACTACTTACTCTTGCCTGGACTTCATTTCAGTTCTGGAACATTAGCAAGACTTTGGAGTAATGTACTTCAGATGAGATGTTGGAAACCCAATCTTGCTAGAGTAAAATATCACTTTACTTTGCAATGTAGAAGAATAGGCCCCTGGAAGCTTTTTTGTGGTCCAGCCCTGGTTCTGAGTTAAATTCAGAGCCAGTGCAGCTTCAGAGATACACCGGTGACGTTGCTGAAGCCACATCTTCTCCCTGCCCTGTTCTGAATTTGGCATCCAGGCCTGAAGTTTATTGTGTTATCAACTACAAAAGGCCACCACTGTGAAGCATTGAATTCATGATTATCCCAGACCAATGGCTGAGGAGCAACCATGCCTTTGTTTTTGGGGCTGTTGGGACGGTGAACTTCATCACATTCACACAGACCACTTTGCTCCCACAAGCAGGATGTGCAGACACCTATTGTTGGCCTCTCTTCAGGCATAGGACATGGGATGGGCATTTCTGGAGCAAAAGTAGAGCGTTGTAGAGTGCACGGTACCTGCCCATCTTCATCTGCGCTGGCTTCTTTTGAGCTTGCGCTCAGTCAGGTTGGACAGATCCATGGACAGGTCCCTGCTCCCTTCACAACCCCCTCAGCCTTTAACTTGACAAAATCAGCCAATTCCCAGTCTGCAGGCCCAAAGCACCAGTCTCTGAAACTGGATTAAAGCATTAACTTAGGGCAGTGTCCATGATTCCCTGCTGGTTGTCCTGCCTTCCTCCTGCTGTCCTGGATACTCCTCTCCCATCATGCAGAAAAATGCTTTCTTCAGTTTCAGAGCTCTTCTTCCCTTTCCATCGTGAAGACACAGCTCCCATCCACAGTCCCTGCTTTTTTTCTCAGTGCCAGGGTGACCAAACCCTGGTTTTTTCTACCTCTCAGAGGCGTGATGACCTCTCAGCTCTGAGAAGGATTTCAATGTTTCCAGCTCCACCATATTAACCATATGCAATAGCCCTTGATAGTTTGGTCCTGCAGGGTGTAGAAAACCTCCTAGAAATGTGTGTGCCCTCAGTAACCAGTGAAATCAGGGCAGATGGTTATTCACTCTGTTCTTAGTGAAGCATCTAGCAGTCCTAGCTGAGATGGCCTGACCCACACTGTCAGAGGTGTTTGAACGTCTGCTAGGATTTACAGAGTTTCTCAGTGTGTTAGACATCTAAAACCCATTAATATTTCACTATGGGTAAGAAGCTAATTTGCCTTAAACTGGGAAGTCACTATTCCTTGGCTTTAACCTTCAACCTTTTGCGGTTACTAGTCATGTCGTATGGAGCAAACACCATCTCGGCTCTCTGAAGGTAAACCAGACACTGTTGGGCTGCCATAATCAACATTTGGTCACCTGAAAAGCCTGCTTCGGTCTTTTCAGGGCATAAGATTAAATTGGTCAGAGCTGCAGTGCCCTCTCAGTGTTTTAGGGGCTCAGTACCATCAGGGCACTTCAAATACTTTTTGCTTTTCTGGTGCAGTTTGTCTGGACAGTAATGAACTCGAGCTGTTCCTCACATTTCCACATTCAAGTGCCAAAAGAGAAGAAACATGCTGCAACTGAGCACCATTAAAACCAGCTTTATTACACGTCGATAAATATAGTCTCAAGGGCTCCATTTTTGGTGCTAAGAAATGTCATGCTGTATTTTTCACTGCTTGGGATTATAAAGCTGATTCCATACTTCAGGAAACATTTTCTGTAATCAGCAGTGTCTTAAGCATTGGAATTTTATTTTTTTTTTTCTTGCGGCTGTAAATTTTTCTTAACCCAGGTACACTCAACAAATACCACCCTCCCCAGTCACGTGAGTTTCTGGAGAAGTTTTATGCAGTATATTTATGTAAAAATTATTTCAAAATGTGGGTGCATGTCTATTTTCCCCGTGATAATACTCTTCATCACATCGACTGACCTAGAACTAAGGGAATCCGTTACTCAGGATTTGATCCAGAAGTAACTGAGGTT